GCCCATGCCCCGCGGGCAGGGCAGGGCAGGGCAGGGCAGGGCAGGGCAGGGGGTCCGTCCCTGTCTCACCGTTGACGGGCAGGTCGAACACGGAGGGGGGGTAGCTGTTGTCGAAGTCGGTGTAGTCGATCTCGTACTTGTCGTAGTGGGAGCCCAGCAGGCTGTTGTAGCCCCGCATCTCGTAGTGCACGGGGGCCACCCCGCAGCTGGAGTTGGTGACCCACAGGGTGTAGACGTTCTTCTTCTGCGCCCAGCGGGTGCTGTTCTGCCACACGGCGCAGTACCGGCCCTGGTAGTACTCCTCCCGCAGGAACTGGGGGGGGACACGGCGTCAGGGAGGGCTCCCCAACCCCACGAGGCACCCCCTCCCTCCCCACCCAGCCCCTTTGCACAGCCCAGTGCTCCCAGCACACACACGGGCTGGATCCAGAGGCTACATGGCCATAAGCACATCCTTGGGATGGAAACTGGGGCAAGGATTTGGAGTGCCACACAGGGCAGATCCCCCTGGCTGGCCCAGCGGCGCCCTGGGGACACCCCACCACTCACAACACTCTGTGTGCACCCACAGAGGAAGGTCTGGCTTCCAAAGGCTAAGGAGCTTCTAGGTTTTTCCTGCGTGTTTCCGAGCTCTCTCCCTGCGGGCAGGGCCCAGCTGGGTGACAGCCTGATGTCCCCACCACTCACGTGCTGTGCCCAGCCCTGCCAGGGTCTGGGGCCAGCGGGAGCTGAGCCGCCCTGCAGGGACTTGCCCAAACCGTGCCCAAACGCCGGCGTTTGTGTGGGATGTGGCACGTCCCGACACGGCTGCTGGAGTTGGGAAAGGAGCCGGCGGTCCGGCCCCAATCCAGGTGGGGAATTGACCCTCCCTGCGCCCTGGGGTGTGGGGGGGAGGGGGACATGTCCTGGCCTGTCCCAGCACCCTGCACCCCTCAGATGGAGAGGAACACCCCTTCCCACAGCCTGCACAGGTCGGATCCAGGCCCTGGCGTTTCCCACCTTAAAGCCTTTCATGTTGGGGAAGACGCTCTGAGCCTTCACCACGTCCTCCTCGGAGCCGGGCAGCTGGAAGCATTTCCTGGCGTTCACCTCCTTCTCGGTGGTCTCCGGCGTGATCTTGTACCTCATCCCGTAGGGCTTCACCGCCGCCAGCTGGTAGGTTATCACCTGCCCTGTGCCCGTGGGGACGGGAAACTGAGGCAGGGTGGTCCTGCCAGCGCAGAGTGGGCACAGCTGGAGCGGGTGGGTGCCCACCTCTTACCTCCATAATACTGGATCCGGCTCTTGTTCCCCGTCAGGTTGTACCAGGCCTCGAAGGGCTCCTCGATCTCGGCGTAGGGCAGCTTGATGAGCCCTGTGAGCCCCCCCAGGCAGGTCAGCCCCAAAGCCTCAGCACCCCGATATCCCTCCCTGGGCCCTCCAGACACCCACAGCCCACCAAGCCGCTGTGCCCATGGGTGACAGGACAGGGAGAGGCACTCAGCTGTGGAAAGCCCAGCAAAGGGGGTTGAGGGGTCCCTTTACCTCGGACGTGGTAGATGGAGCCGAACTGAGGGGGAGGGCGGGAGAACACATAGTCCTGTCCTGAAAGGCAGAGAGAGGCAGGGGTGAGGGGGGCTGTGTGTGTCCCAACAAGCTGAGTGGGGGACAGGAGGTGTCCTGAGCCAGTGTTCTCCTTCCCTGCAACCTAGGGACCCCTGTTTGGCCAAAAGAACTCTCCGAGCCCACCAGTGGCACATCCGAGGGACACCAAGGCACTGACACCTTCCCGGGGCCAGATCCAGGGTCACCACCATGCCACAACCTGCTGTGACACTGGAGCAAGCCCTGTGCTGTTGCACCCCCAGGGAACCCCCATTCCTGGGATGACTGTTGGGGCGATGCCCTGGTGTCACCCCAGCGCAGGTGGTCATGGTGTTGGGTGATGTTTCCGAGGGGGGGACACGGCCAAGCTGTCTCCAACACACAGGGCACGGTTGAGGGGTGCCAGGGAGCCAACTGGTCCCACCTGGCATCTCCCAGTGACCTCCCCAAGCTGCCTGAGGGCTCCCAGCTTGTGCAACCCCAAGCCACGCCAACACACCCGCCACTGGGAACAGGCCCTTCCCTCCGTCAGCATCTTCCTCCAGCCGGGAGCAACCAGCAGCACCTGCCCCAGCACCAACCCTGAACCCCAAACCTGGGGGAGGCAGGGCCAGACAGCCCCCCACTGCACCCCAGGCTGTCCCATGGGTGCCCAGCACACCCTGTGCCCGAGCACCCACAGAGAGTGCCCAGGGTGGGGGTAGCAGTGAGTCCAGCGACCCCACCACCCTATTTACACCCAGAAAGGGGGTCCCACAGGCCACAGTCCCCCTGACCCTCCTGTTCCCTCCTGTCCCCTCCCCTCTACCTGTTTGGATTAAACACCTTGGGTTAAAGCCAAACGTTTCCCCCTCACCCTCACCAAGCCCTCAAGGCACGTCCTCCCCTCTTTGCCACCCCACCCCAACTCTGCCTCGGAGGAACCGCAAACTTTAGGACCCAACGAGCAACGAAACCACTTCCCTAATCTCCAGCCTGCCCTGCAGTGCAGCAGGGGGGGCGAGACACGTTGGGATGCCCCCATCTCCCTCCCACCCCCGGGGTGTCCCCAGCTGGGACAGTGCCATGGGATGGGGTGGGGGGGTAGGGAGGGATCCAGGCTCACCCCAGATGAAGATGCAGAGCGCAGAGGCCACGAGCCAGCGGAGAAAACCCATCCTCACCTTCCCGGCTTGCCCGGCGCCGGCTTTTCGGCTTTAAGCCGGAGCCGGCGGCAGCGAAACCCGCCGGAGCCAATGCAGAAGTGCGGACCCTCCCCGGAGGAGGGAAGGAACCGGCATCATGTGGTGCCTGGCGGTGGGGGACGGGCACCCTCGGGGTGCTTGGCGGGGAGAACATGTCCCGGCAGGGCAGATGGAGCAACGCCGGGCGCTACAGGGGATGGGAGGTGCAGGAGGGGCCCCAAAAACACCTCCAGCAGCGCGTGGGGTGGAGGGATGCAGGCTGGATGGGGACCCTGCAACTTGGGGTCAACCAGGCTTCCTTCCAAGTTTGGTGTTAACTCGATGGTTAAAGCACTGGCTGCTTTATTTTATGTATTAATACATTCAGACAGGTTGAAATCAGCCTCGAGATCCCAAATACCCTGCACAGAGGGTAAAGAGTGGGTCAGTCACAGGCCCTTTGGTCCTGCAAACAACAAGGGCTCCTGGTAACTGTAATATCACCAAGATCTCCAAGCAGAAAAATCAGTTTAAGACAGAAACACCTTCCTCTTATACACTTTTTTTTTTTCCAAGTGCTGCCTTATCCCACCTAATGCAGAATATATGAATTACTAAAACGGGCTTTGCATCAAAACGGGCTTCCTTACCCCTAAGGGTGGATCGTCATGACTGGTCCCTTCTTCTGCCTCTGGGTGGGAGACACAGTCAGCAGAGTGGGGGGCTCAGGGCTGTGTCCCCTCCTTGGGGTCTTTGCCAAGCAACCCCAATGCCAGGGTGATGAGCAGTCCCTGTCCCTGCTGTCCCCTGTCCCCTCCCAGGGACATTGACAGGGCTGAATCCCCCCTCAGCAAGTCCCAGAGCCCCCAGGTCTGAGCTGTGCTCCCAGGATGAGTCAGGAGGTGACAAGGCGAGGGTGACATCAGTCTGGGGGGTAGGTCCCCATCCTGGTGGGGACACAGGACCTCCACCAGCCCCAGCCTCCCTGTGAGAACAGGAAACACTGGGACCTGATTTACTGTCACAGAGGAAAGAGGTCACCCTGTGAGGGTTAACCACAGGACAAGGAGGAGGAGGAGCAGGAGGAGGAGGAGGAGGAAAGCTCTGGAGAGATGGGGAAGGGACCCCTCTCCATCCCACCTGTGTAAGGGAACAGGGTGGCAGAGTCAGAATGCAGCAGTTCTGGGATGGAGCATGACCAGAGCCCCCACCCCACCTTCACCTCCGCTTGGGACCTCAGCCCAACACCGGAAACTGCATTGGGGGACACCCAAAAATATCCCTGTCCCCTGTGGTGGGGGGAGGGAGGGCTGGGGGATGTGCAGGCTGGGGCTTGGTGGAGCTGGGTGGGGGGTATTTCCATGCAGGAAGGTTCTGATTTGGAGGGGGGGGGCTTCCCTGCACCCCTGGTTTGCACAGAGTGTTCCCCCAGTGACGGACCCCATCGAGAACCCCTCGATCTGGGGGTCAGGGTGCCCCAGGGAGCCTGAAGTGCTCTCTTGCAGGTGGCTGCCTCAGTGATCTGGGCTGGGTTTCAGACAGGGTGCTGGGGGGCTCAGACACTGTGCTGGGGGTCACCTCCCTCTCCCAGAGCTCACTGAGGTTTGTGGCTTGGTGTGACAGCTGCCAAATCTTGGGGTCGTCCCACCAGCAACTTTATCTGGAGAGAGGGTAAGTCAGGGGGCTGTTCATGGCCACAGCACTGGCTTGAGCCAGCTGGGAGCTGGGGGGACATGTAGGACCCCCCTGGCACACAGTGCCGGGGCAGGGTGGGCACTGTGAGCCCTGGGAGATGCTGTGCCAGGTGGCTGTGTGGCTGCTGTGTGTGCTCTGCCACCAGACTGAGCACCTTGTGCCTGTTCCTCTCAGGGCCACAGCCCCCTGCGTGCAGTTTGTGTCCCTTGCCAGGCTCTCTGGGGAGGGGTGCAGGCAGCCCTCCACCCTGGCACAGGCTGGATCCCCACATAAATCCCATCGGGCAGAGCCTGGGCATCCATGCCAGCGTCCCCCCTTGTGCTGCTGGGGACCGGGGACACCCCCAATGCCAGCGCATGTCCTGCTGTCCCACCCTCCACGCAGCGAGTGTGCCGGAGGGTGATCCAGGGGGCGATCCAGGTGATCCGGAGGGCGATCCCGCCGGTGATCCAGCAGCAGCCCCGGCCGGGCTGGCTGGTACAATGAACCATCGCCGGGAGCGCGGGGAGGAAGGGGGGGCGAGGGGAGGGGAAGCTCTTGCTCGGCTGCCAGAGCCGCCGAAGAGACACGGGAAGCACACGGCCGGGCTTTCTCCCGCTCTCCCACGGCCCCCGCCTCGACAGCCCGGCCCCCGGCGCCGGGAGAAGCGGGTGCTGCCGTGGCACCCTGGCCGGGGGTCCCGTCGGGAGCGGCTCGGGAGCGGCGGGTCCATGCCAGGCGGAGCAGGAGCGCTGACGGTAGGAGGGATGCGCGGGGTGCGCGGTGCAGGGCGGTGGGGGGCTCACCCCTGGAAAGTGGCGGGGTTCTTAATCCCCTTGCTGTGTGTTTGGGAGGGGGCGGGTGTTTAGGGATGATCCCCGAGGTGTGGGGTGGCTCTGGGTCTGGGGTGGGATGGGCGCTGAGCTGTGGGGATGGAGGGCCCTGTGACCCCGGTGCGGGGCTTTTGGGGGCCCTGCCTGGGCTCTGCCCTCACTGCTACCCCGGGCAATGCCTGGGCGTGGGAGGAGACCCCCGTCCTGGCCGTGCTGGGGGACAGCGGGTCAGCGGGGGCTGTGGTGTGGGGAGGGCTGGGGGCACCCACCGGCTCCAGCTCGCTGTCCCGGCACTGATGGCTGTGACACCGCGTCCGGGGAGCCTGCGGGGACACGCGGTGCCTTCTCCTGCGCCGGACCCCCGCGCTGGGGAGGGGGCAGGTCCCGGCACTCCGGGACACCGGGATGGGGGGACACACCTGTGCCCTCAGCCCCGCGGGTGTCCGTGGGCTGCCAGCCCAGCCAGCCCTCCGGGGGGCTGAGCAATCCCTGGCTGTGGCTGGGGGGAACAGTGAGGGGCTCAGGCTCTGGCCGGAGCGAGTGCTCCCCCCGCTCCCTGCAGCTCTGCCTCGTCCCAGGTCCTTGGTGTGTCCCAAGGAGGGACAGGAACTCGCCGCTTCCTGCCCTGCACAATTCCCTCCCCACCCCGCTCCTCCCGGGACATTGTATTTGGAGCCCTGGCCGGCTCCCTCCCTCCGCCCCTGCAGCCCCTTGGATCCGGGAATTGCTCTTCTTCCAGCGGAAATCCTGCTTTCCCAGCCAGCGATGGGGCTGGGAGGCTGGGGAAGGGGGGTTGCCTCCCTCCTGGGCATCTCCTCCTTGGTGGGGGGCAAGGGGACCCCCTGCCCTTGGCCTGGTGGCTGAGTGGATGGGCTTGTGCTGCAGATCACTCATGGGGGCCAGCCAGTCCTGCCTCTTTAACCTCAGGGAATGGTCCAAGCACTGGTCAGGCCTGGCCAGCACAGCAGGTTTTGGGGGGCAGCTTTGAGCCCTGTCCTGCTCATAGGCATGCAGGGGATGGGGTGTCATCCCTCCTTGCACTCCTTGTTCTCGAGGAAGCTGCTCCCACTGGGAGCCACGGGGGACTCACCAGGCCCTGGGTGAATTGGGAGGGCTGGACCTGGGGCTGGGGGCAGTGGGAAAGGACCTGGGGGCAGTGGGGAAGGGGCAGGGACACGCCACCATCTGCCACTATGCCAGGACAAGGAGCAGGCAGTCGAGGCAGATGTATCCTCTCATCCCCTCCCCAGGCCTGTGGGGTCCTGGACAGAGGTTGGGGACATGTCTCAGACTCTTATGTCCTAAAAAGAGGCACCTTCCCCTTCTGTGCTGCACCTGCCTCGTGCCTCAGTTTCCCCCCTGGGACCAGGGAGCTCCAGAGCTGTGGGGTGACAGAGGAACCCCAGCTGGGCTCTGCAGCTCTCTTGGTTCCTCTTCCCTGGGAGCAGGTTGTGAGAGCCACTGGAGGAGCGCTGGGGGTGTGCAGGGTGAGGGGGCAGGTCAGGGCATGGCAGGGCACGGGGTACCCAAAGGGCTGCAGCCCTGCTGTGGTCCCTGCCTGGCCCCCCCAGCTGCCACCGTCCCCCAAGGCCTGTGGTCCTGCCAGCCCTGAGGTTCCCCTTGGCTGCCCCTCCTCCCCCATGCCGGGCTCCTGCTGCTTCCTCTTCCCGCTCTGTAGGTGCCGTGTGGGTTCCTCTGGCGGCTGCCCCCGTGCCCGGGGGAGGGGGGTCATGGCACCCTCAGCCTGCCAAATGCCACCATGGCTTGTCCCCAAGCACGGGGCGTGTGACATTCCCCGCTCCAGGCAGCTGCATCCCCTCGCAGCCTGACCCCTCCGTCACGAGGGGAGGGGAGGGGAGGCAGGGGATGGAGGTGACATCATGGGTCACAGGGGCGACAGTGGTGCCTGCAGGGGACATTGTGCCCTGTCCAGGAGCTGGGGAGGGGGCTGAGCTGCCCCGTGTCCCGTGGGGCCGGGGAGCAGATGGATGGGCAGCCAGGGATGCGGCTGCTCCGTGCCCAGCCGTGCCCCGCAGGACGGGGGGTGACGAGTTGGCCGGGTCTCAGCACGGGGCGGGAGTTGGGACCGGTGCCGGTGGAGCTGGGGTGGGAAGGGCTCAGTTGCCATCTGCTCCCGGGCTCTGAACAGCTCCTTTTTGGGAGAGCCGGAGCCAGGAGCCAGCGCGGAGCCACCGGACACGGCGCCAGCTGCATCCCATCCCCATGACCAGCCCAGGGGGATGGCTCTGACCCACCCTGGGGCAGGCTTGGGGGGCTGTGGGATCCCACAGAAGGAGAAGAGTGGGTACCATGCTGCTGCACAGCACCTGAACCCTCGGTGCTGAGATACTGGGGGTTTGTGCTCGCCTGGAAGATGCTCCTTGCCAGCCCCATCCCTGCTGGCAGCTCTGGCAGCTCCGCCACCCACTCAGCACTGAAATTCGGCGAAATGGGAAGTTTCTGAGCGTGGTAGGTGGGTGATTCCCACACAGAAGGGACAGGGTTTGTGAGAACCAGGGGTGTTCATCAGCTGAAACTGCCACTAATTGTGAGCAAGAGTGAAATCCCCAGCCAGCTGAGCGCTCTGGGATTTGGCAACGCTGCCCCGCCGGCAACGGCCGCGGCCTTGCCACACCAACCGTGTTGAAAGGGGAGGTGGAAGGGGAGAGCTGGGGCTCTTTCCACCCCCATTGAGAGAGAGAAAAGGAGTCAATGGCCATGGTGAGGGAAACCCGCCTGAAACGTCTCATCCACCCCAAAACCTCCATCTCCTCCTGCTCTCTGGAGCACAGGGGACAGGGCACCTTCCTGCTCCTCCCCTCCGCTCGCAGCTGAAGCTCTGCCGGATTGCAGAGTGGAAAGCTCTGCCCAGTGCAAACTGGGCAGACTGGTGTGGCTGCTCAGCACCCAGGGGAGTGACAGAGATGGGGACAGACTGTGTCCTTGCAGCCGTGGCAGAAGAGGTCCAATTTCCCCCTCCTCTGTGACACCTTCATGGCCGGAAGAGCACGACCTGACCGCAGGGACCTTCCTCCCCAAAGCCCCCCTCTGTGCTGAGCAGAGGGTGTGGGGTCAGGGACACTTCAGGGGCTCCTCCCCACCCACCCTGGCTCCCTCCAGCCTCGGGGCAGCCAGGGACACGGCTGCTCTTGAAGGGAGGTGAGCGGTGTGGCGAGGACACAGTGAGAGAGAAACCCACTCGAGGATGTGGTTTCAGCCCGTGCAGGGGTGTTGCAGCCCTCGGAGGAGGGTTTGCAGCCTTTGTGGAGGTGTTGCAGATCATTTTAGCTCATGCTAAAATGTCTGTGCAGAGGTGTTTTAGCCTGTGCAGGGGGTCATTACAGCCCGTGCAGGGGTGCTTTGGTCCGTGCAAGGGTGTTTCAGCTCAGGCAGGGGTGCTTCAGGCCGTGCAGGGGATGTTGTAACTCGTGCAAGGGTGTTATAACCCTTGTCAGGGGTGTTACAGCCCATAGCAGGGGTGTTGCATTCTGTTCAGGGGTGTTCCAGCCTATGCAGGGGTAATTCAACCCATGCAAGGGTGTTTCAGCCCACGCAGGGGTGTTACAGCTCGTGGCAGGGCTATTTCCACTCTTGTAGTGGTGTTGCAGCCCATGGTAGGGGTTTTACAGCCCTTGAAGGGGGTGCTGCAGCTCTTGGAGGGGTGTTTCAGCTTTGGTGGGGTGTTTCAGCCCTTGCAGAGGTGTTTCAGCCCACACAAAACTCCTGCCCTCTGCCTGACGCCCTCCCCGGTGCCCACAGGTGCCTCTTCCCCTCCCCGAGGTGACATGGAGCAGCTGAAGTGACCCGAGGAGCCCTCGCAGTGAGTGGAGCCCCCGTGGAGCCCCCCCCGGTGCCAGGGTGGGACATGGGGACCCCCAGACAGCACAGCCTGTGGCACCCCGGTGTCCCCATGTCATTGTGCAGGGGGGTGACAGGACCCTGCTCCTCCTGGGGCCGGCAGGGTGCACCCCGGTGCCCCTAATCCCGTGTCACGGCCCCCTCTGTCCCGCAGGCGGTGCCCAGGATGGGCTGCGTGCCCTGCAAGGAGAAAAGGGCCAGCAAAGGGCAGGCGGGGGGCGAGGGGGGCTTCCTCCCCGCCTGCCCCCTCCCAGTATGACCCTGACCCCACCCAGCCCGGCTCCAGCTTCACCTGCATCCCCGACTTCAACAACTTCCAGGGGCCGGCGGTGCCCTTGGCCCCGTCCTTGGCGGGGCAGGGCGCGTTCACCTCCAACACGCTGCAGATGCGGAGCGGGGGCATCACAGGTCAGCAGTGGGGCTGGGTGACGGGGAGGGGGTTCCAGCTGCTTCCTGGGGAGTGCAGAGGACCTGGGGGCTCACCGTGGTCCCCTCTGCGTGCTGCAGGCGGTGGGGTGACGCTCTTCATCGCCCTGTACGACTACGAGGCCCGGACGGAGGATGACCTGACCTTCCAGAAAGGGGAGAAATTCCACATCATCAACAACACGTGAGCCCTCCCGGCTCCCCTGCCACTCGCAGTGCCCCCCTGCCACCCCAGGGAGGGGCCTCCATGCCATGGGTACCCCCTGCAGGAGCCAGGCTGGGGACACGAGCTCTACCTGGGCTCTGTTGTTGGGTACCAGGGCCACGAGTGTCACGAGCTGGGAGGACTCAGCAGAGATGGGTGTGGGGTCTGGGGGTGCTGTGTGAAGGGTGAGGGGGTGCAGGATCTCCAGGTCTGTCTGTCTGTCCCTCCTCCCCCTCCTCCTCCTCCTCCTCCTCACTCTCTGCTCCTCTGCCCCAGGGAGGGGGACTGGTGGGAGGCCAGGTCGCTGAGCTCGGGCGCCACGGGCTACATCCCCAGCAACTACGTGGCCCCTGTGGACTCCATCCAGGCAGAGGAGTGAGTAGGGGGGACAGCGTCCTGGTGAGCCCCGGCAGCGCCGCAGGGCCGGTGGGGGTTCCCCCTGGGTGCCCCCCGGGTGGTCCTGAGCCCGTCCCCGCGGCAGGTGGTACTTCGGGAAGATCGGGCGCAAGGACGCGGAGCGGCAGCTCCTGTGCCACGGCAACTGCAGGGGCACCTTCCTCATCCGGGAGAGCGAGACCACCAAAGGTGCGGGCGCAGGGGCGGGATGGGGACGCCCAGGGGGGTGCGCCCTGTGTCCCTCCCTGACCTGTGCCCCCCTCACAGGGGCCTACTCGCTCTCCATCCGGGACTGGGACGAGGCCAAGGGAGAGCACGTGAAGCACTATAAGATTCGGAAGCTGGACAGCGGGGGGTACTACATCACCACCCGAGCCCAGTTCGACACCGTCCAGCAGCTGGTCCAGCACTATATAGGTAGGGTGGGATGGGGGGCATGGGGAGGGGGGATGATGGGAGGGGTAGGGAAATTCCAGGAGAGCCTTTGGTAAGACACTGGTTGGGCCAGCTGGGTGGAACTGGGGAAGGAGGGGACCTGTTGTGGTGGTGGCATTGGGGGATTCCCTGAGAGTCTCCCCCTTTTCCATGGGTGGGCATCACCCACATCCCTGGGCATGGCTGGGGGGGTTGATGTCCAGCCCAGCTGAGGGGCTGTCGCAGGGGGAGGCAAAAGGGGGTGCACCCCATTTTCGTCCGTGGATGCTGGGGCGTGACTGGATGATGTAGGATCCTGGGCGATGCCCAGGGTGGTGGAGGGTGGGCAGGGGGTCAGTGAGGGTCTGTGCCCACACTGACCCCCTGTCCTGCTGCTGCAGAGCGGGCGGCCGGGCTGTGCTGCCGCCTGGCCATGCCGTGCCAAAAGGGCACCCCAAAACTGGCCGACCTGTCGGTCAAAACCAAAGACGTGTGGGAGATCCCCCGGGAGTCCCTCCAGCTCCTCAAGAAGCTGGGGAACGGGCAGTTCGGGGAAGTCTGGATGGGTAGGGCCCGGCGGGCAAGCCAGGGCGAGCGGCGGAGGGGACACGGGGGTACCCCCAGGCCTGGCACCACCTTGGAAAAGCTCCTGCCTGCTGGGACAGGCTGAGCCAGAGCGATTCTCCAGCATGGGGAAATATCCCATGTCCTCTGGGATCATAATGGGTATCCCAAGATACCCATCCCTGCCCCATTTCAAATGGGACCACAAGACCAGGCTGGGGGGGTCCCACCTTTGTCCTCCTCTTGCTGCGGCGCCCTGTGCTCCCCCCGCTCGGCGTGCATGCTCCATTCATCCCACCCTCCATTCCATCCCCCTGTCCTCCCCATCCCCCTGCTCCATTCATCCCATTGCACCCCCTCCCTCCTCCTCCTCCTCCCCTGCCTGCCCCCCTCACCCCCCTGCAGAGTATAACGACGGGTTGTGCCATCTGCTCACCCGCCCGTGCCCCGCTATGAAGCCCCAGACCCTGGGATTAGCTAAGGACGCCTGGGAGATAGAGCGGGAATCCATCACCCTCGACAAGAAACTCGGCATGGGCTGTTTCGGAGACGTGTGGATGGGTAAGGCTGGCCCAGCCGGCCGGGGCAGGGGGGCACAGGGTGGGCAGGAGAAGCCCAGCCCTGCCCTGGCAGGGAGAGTCACGGGGTGCCAGGTGGTACCCACTGGTGTGGGGGAGATGGCAGCTTGTGGCACAGGATCCCCCGTGGCTGGATGGGGAATGGGGAGAGGCATCAGGAGATGAGCCTTGGGGTGAGTGGGACCCCCTGTCCTGGGTGGGGTGTGGTGGGATCACGGCCCTTCCTTGCCTTGCCCTGATTCCTTGCTCCTCCATCCATGCACCCATCCATCCATCCATCCATCCATCCCTCCATCCCTCCATCTCTCCACACAAGCATGCACCCACGCACCCCTCCATCCACACCCCCCTCCATCCCGGCCCTGCCAGGGCTGGCTGTCCCCTGGGCTCTTGCTGACGCCGAGTCCCCAAACCCAGGCACCTGGAACGGCACCACGAAGGTGGCAGTGAAGACGCTGAAGCCGGGCACCATGTCCCCAGAGGCCTTCCTGGAGGAGGCCCAGATCATGAAGCGGCTGCGGCACGACAAGCTGGTGCAGCTCTACGCCGTGGTGTCCGAGGAGCCCATCTACATCGTCACCGAGTTCATGAGCCAGGGTGAGCCTGGGACGATGCCCGGGGGACCTACCACCTCTCCTGCGAGCCTCACCCTCTTTGGGTACAGTCCCGGGGCGGGGGGCTCGCAGGGGAGGGCACTCTGGGTTTTTGGGGTGTTGTGACTGGGCCCCCCCTCTGCCTGCAGGCAGCCTGCTGGATTTCCTGAAGGACGGGGACGGCCGCTACCTGAAGCTGCCCCAGCTGGTGGACATGGCAGCCCAGGTACTTGGGGGGGTTGTCACAGTGAGGGGACACCCCCCTGAGGGCGTTTTTTTAGGGGGGGTGGTCCTCACTGGTTTCCCCCGGCTCAGATCGCGGCGGGCATGGCGTACATCGAGCGGATGAACTACATCCACCGGGACCTGCGCGCCGCCAACATCCTGGTGGGGGACAACCTGGTGTGCAAGATCGCTGACTTTGGCCTCGCCCGCCTCATCGAGGACGATGAGTACACGGCACGGCAGGGTGGGCACCCCTGACCCGCCCCCCACCCTGCTGGGTCCCACCCTCAGCCTGGGAACCATCACCCCTCCCACGGGGCTGGGTGGCCTGGGCAGTGGGTGCCCCAAATAATGGGTGTTCTGGGTGATGGACACCCCAAATAATGGGTATCTCAGGGGAACGGGTATCCTGGCTGATGGGTGTCCCAGGGGATGGGTACCCTGGTGATGGACACCCCAAATAATGGGTGTCCTGGGTGATGGACACCCCAGATAATGCTACCCCAGGTGTGGGTGCAGCCCCAGCCACGGCTCTCCCACCTCCCTCTGCAGGTGCCAAGTTCCCCATCAAGTGGACGGCCCCGGAGGCCGCGCTTTTTGGCAAGTTCACCATCAAGTCGGACGTCTGGTCCTTCGGCATCCTCCTGACCGAGCTGGTGACCAAAGGCAGGGTGCCCTACCCAGGTATGGCCCCCCTGGGGCAGTGGGCACCCCTGGGGTGCAGAGGGGGGCTGTTCTCCCTCAGCAAGGGGTGCTCTGTGCCTCAGTTTCCCCCCTGGGTGGTCCCGTGGGGGTGCTGGCCGCTGAGCAGGGGTGTTCCCGTCACGCAGGGATGAACAACAGGGAGGTGCTGGAGCAGGTGGAGCGGGGGTACCGCATGCAGTGCCCCGGGAACTGCCCCCCATCCCTGCACGAGGTGATGGTGCAGTGCTGGAAGCGTGAGCCTGAGGAACGCCCCACCTTCGAGTACCTCCAGTCCTTCCTCGAGGACTATTTCACTGCCACCGAGCCCCAGTACCAGCCCGGGGACAACCAGTGACCCCCCCCGAGGCTCTGGAGTGGCTTTGGGGTGAATCTCCCTCTTTTATTGGGGGGGGGTGTTGCTCCTTTTGGCTGTGCCCCCCAAAAAAACGCCTGTTGAGTGGTGCTCAGGGTGCCCCAGGGAGGACATGGGGCTTTGCACAAGGATGTTGGACTCAGAGAGGAGCCCCTCCCTTTCCCCCCTCCCACCTTGTTGCCTTCATACCCTGCTTTGAACTTGAGAAGGGCTTTGGCTGTGGGGAAGAGTGTGGGGGAGCCCCCTCTGTTCCCCCAGACCCACAGCAGCAGGGGGCCAACCCCAATCTCCTCTGGTAATGCACCTGGGGGGGGTTCAGCCCCCAAAATCCTGGCACTGACCTGGGAAAGGTCACCTCAGTTTCATCCCCACACCTCGCCCCCACTTATATCTTCTTTAATTTATGAGATTTTATATCCCTCACTCAAGCAACAATTGCTCCCCCACCCCAAGGGATCCTGATATCTGGGGGGATCCACTTGTCCCCCCCCTTTTTTATCCCCTCTGCTTTATAGTGGGGCCAACTCCTGAAAGCCATAAACCTCTGCTTGCACTGGGGGGGGCACTGGGAGTCCTGGGGGGTACAAGGAGTCCTGGGGGGGGACACAAGGGGTCCAGGCAGGGTGGGGGGCAGCTCTGCCCCAGGGGCTGTTCCTTGCTGCCCCGTGGGGGGCAAGAGGGGGGTACAGGATGGGGTCACCCCCCATGGCATTCCCAGGGGTCCCGGTGGCAGCTTGGCTCAACCCCCTGGGGCATTTTGGGGGGGAAGGGGGGGCTTTGGGGGTCAATGTGAATGTGATGGCACTGCCAGCTGGTTCCTGGGGTCCTACTTTCCCCCTGCCCTCCCCCCCATTCCTGAGTGGGGTCCCAGGCTTGGCCCCATGGGCAGGAGCCCCCTGTGCCCCCACGGGGCAGGGCTGTGGGTGGGCAGTGCCACGGGGTGGGGGGTGGAGGATGTGGAGGGGGAGGGAGGAAAGGGGAGGGATTTGTTGTCTATTTTTTTTTATGAAGTCTGTAAATAGAGAGAAATAAAAGCTTTCTAACGAGCTGGGGAGGGGTGGGGAACCTGGGTCCTTCTGCTTCTCCCTCCCATCAGAGATGGGGAGATCAGTCACCCTGCAGGGTTGGCTGGGGGAACTGCAAGATTTGGGGTGTGGGGCACCCATGCCCAGGCAGGGGGGGCTCCCAGATTCAGTCAAGCCAGGACTGAGTGATCAGCCCTCACCCCTCCCCAGCCCCAGGGCACTCAGGCTTGGGGGGGGCTCCATGGAGGTGAGCAAAGAAGACCCCACCCTGCTCTCCCAGGCTGTGTGGGGAAAGGACACACCAGCTTCCCTTGCAAATAAAAGCCTGGATTGGGAAGCTTTTGGGATTGTAAAGCTGCCCCCACCCTGGGTACAGCCCCCCAGCACCCCCTGAGAGGGGACCATCCCCTCCTTCCAGCTGTGACAGTGGGGGGGGTCCCATGCTTGGGAGGCTGGGCAGGAAGAGGTTAATTTTCCTTGCAGCTTGGCCTCCCCAGCAGGGCCCAGCTGTGGCCGGTTAATGAATTCCCCAGCACTGGTGGGAAGGGGGGACTGGCCCCAGGCTCAGCTTGGGGGGTTGGGGGGGGAGGGCCTGGGCAGGTGGGGAGAAGGGCAGGGGGCCAAGGTCAGTGGGTTTGGGGACATGCCAGGAGTTTGAGGGACATACCAAGGGTTTGGGGAACATGTCAGGGGGATTTGGGGACATAAAAGAGGTTATGGGGACATGCTGAGGTGTTTGGGGACGTACAAAGGGGCTTGTGGGATGTCACAAGAGGTTTGGGGACATTACCAGAGGCTTGGGGACACACGAGGGGGGATTTTGGACATGCCAGAGGGGTTGGGGACACACCACCATCCCTGGCTACCACCAGGGATCTCCCAGCTTCTGCTTTGCCCCCAGGCTGTGGATCCCCCTGGCACACGGTCCTGGAGCAGAGGAGGGTTGGACACTCCCCCTTCCTCCTTTCCCCATCCCAGGGAAGAATCCCTGGGGAAGGGCCAGGCCCCTGGCCAGGCCTGGCTGGGCAGGGTGGCAGCCTGCCCAGGGCTGGGGGGAGCAGAGCAGATTGCGTGGCAGGGCCAGGACTCGGCTGGCACGGGGTGGGCACGGCCCCACTGCCAGATTGTGGCCATCGGCTCCGGCCGCCCCACACCAGGGGCTGGACACGGGGGGACACTGCCAGGGGCACCCCACAGTCAGCAGCACCCCCTGGCATTTGGCACACACAGCTGAGACCCAGCTACGCCAGCCCGGACTCCGTCCCTGTTCCTGCCTGGTTCCAGCCCATTCCTGCCTTGTTACTGCCTATTCCTGCCCATTCCTGCCTGTTCCTGCCCATTCCTGCCTGTTCCTACGCATTCCCTCCTGGTTCCTGCCCATTCCTGCTTGTTCCTGCTCATTCCTGCCTGTTCCTACCCATTCCTGCCTGTTCCTGTCTGTTCCCTCCTGCTTCCTGCCCATTCCCGCCTTGTAACTGCCCATTCCTGCCTGTTTCCTGCCCGTTCCTGCCCGTTCCTGCCCATTCCTGCCCGTTCCTGCCCACTTGGGCATTCAGAGGGGCTAATCCCACCCTTCTCTGTCCAGCTCCCAGCTGGAAGCGGTGCCACCCCGCCAGGTCCCCAGCCAAGGTCCCTTGTCCCCAGCAGTGCCGGTGGCAGGAGCGGGGCAGGGCGGAGGCAGAGGGTTTTTGCTGACCCTGCCGTGCCCCGGGGATCCACGTGGATTCAGCCACGTGCTTTTCCCCTGCGGCTGTGCCACCACAAGCCCCGTGCATCCCCCGCGGTCGTGTCACCAGAGCCTGTCCCCAGTTTTGCCCTTCGGCGTCGTGAGTGTGAAAGCTCTCGGGGACAGCGAGTGTGGGGCCCAAGGTTGCAGGGACCTGCATGAAAGGGCTGAAAGGACAGGTCCCCCATCCTGTCCCTCCTCCCTCTCCCTCCGTGGGTGCCCCGGGAGGGGCGAAGGGGTTAAAGGGTTTTGCTGCGGGGTGACCGCGGGCTGGGCAGGGGAGGGGGCATCGATTTTATGTTAATGCTGGGCTGCATCGATCAGAGGGCTGGAGGGACAGCTGCTGGGGGGCACGGCCACCCCCCACTCCCGGGGTCACCCCTCACAGAGCCCCTGCAGCTCCCAGCAGGGTCCACCCTGGAGCCAGGAGCCTCGGGAAGGTGGGGAAGGAGGCTGGGACCCCCCCAGAGGTGCTGCAGGCTCATTTTTGCTGCAGAGCTTGGCCTGGGGGCTTGAAGGGAAGAGAGCTGCGGGTGCTGGGGGAGGGCAGAGCTGGGGGGCTCTTCCCCTCCTGGCTGCATCCCTGCGGCGTCACAGCTGCAGCATCTTCAGAGAGGAGCAGGAGCAGCTCAGGACCGCCTTCCCTGCCCCCGGGGGTTGATCCAGCACCACCAGCTCCCCGCCGCTGCTCCCCAGGACCCCCATCCCTGCCGTGCCCAGCTCCGGATGGCTGCTTTGCCAGCACCATGCCAGGCTGGGCCCTCGGCGGGGGCTCCCGGCGGGGGTGTCTGGAGCCAGCGCGCCCACCCTGTGCCAGGAGCGCGGTGGGCGCAGCTGCGAGCCCGCCGCAGATGGCCGGCGCCGCAGACCCTGGCACGGGGGAGCCGCGGCACTGCCACCCCTCCCCGGGGGTCCCCTCGCCACAGAGGTGCTGCTGGGGACCCCCGTGGCCGGGAAGGAGCCGTGCCCACCCGCAGCGGGGCGGGGGTTTGCCCCTGTGCCCCTCGGCCGCGGCTCCCCGGGGACTGGCAGAGCCCGCAGAGCTCCTGGGTCGTGGATCGCAGCCACGTCTCCGCGGCAGCGATGGCCAGACAACAGTGGAAAATGGCCAAAAATGTGGGTTTAGGCTTGACCAGGCTTGAGCCTGCTGGTCCAGGCCTGCAGGGGCTGTGTCCCCAGAGGGGGAAACTGAGGCACGGATTTATCTGCAGTCACCCAGCAGCTCAGCACCGGTCGCTGGGAGGGGACACCTCTTTCCGTGGAAAAAACAACAGATAATTGGGAAGAGCTGTGCTCCGGCAACAGCAGCATCTGTGACAGCAGTGGGGGAGCAGCAGGATTTGGGGACGGAGGTTTCTTGGGCGTGGGGACGGTCAGGTGACAGCGCAGACACAGGCGATGGGGAGGGGGCACAGCGGGAGCCCTGCTCTGCCGGGCGCGGGGCTGCTCGGAAATTGCTTTATTGGGAGAAATCTGGGATGGTTTTGCTGCTGCTCCGGGGCAGCCTGAGGCTGGAATTGAGGGATAAATGGGGCTCTTCTGCCGCAGTTACATTTATGGAGGTAAAATCTGTCTGGCTCAAACCCTTCACAGACGTCGGGGGACAGGACCCTCCCCCTCCCAAATCCCATTGGGGTCTCTGGACGGTGCAGCTCCTGTACCCCAGCAAAGCATCAAACACCTTCCGTTGTCGCCTCGGCCTCCTGTCTCCCCGCATCCCAGATCTCCCCCACACCACCTCACTGCCCCCAAACACCCCTGCTCCCACCGCGGGCAGCTGGTGGCTTTTGGGATGACAACTGCCACCACCCCCCAGCCAAGCCAACCCCAGCTTTGAGGGGACAAACCCAGGCGGGTCCCCCGATCCCGGCCACGGGGGTGGCTTCTCCTCCCTGCTTTGGGGAGGGGGGTGGGTTGCGGGGTGGGGGCACACGGGCTGAGCCGGGGACAGCGGTGGCCCCGGCTCGGCAAAGCAGCCACTAGATGGTAGCGTAAGTCCACGCCAACGCTGCTGACACAGCACTTGGCTGGGAGAGGGGACAGGGTGCCCGGGTGACCCGGGTGGCCCTGGGGACCCGCCTCCGCCCCCCACCTCCCCAGCTGCAAAATGCTGCTGGCAGGGCTGAGCACCCGCGGGGTTGTGACACGAGTGGCATGGGCACAGCTCACCCGCCCCAGTGTCCCCTGCCGTGGCCAGGAGCCACCTGTGCCCATGGGGACAAGTGGGGGACCCCACTCCCAACCCCATCACACCCATCTCTCAATCTCTACCCCAAACCCAGACCCCAAACCCAACCCCAAAGACACTGTAGGGCACAAGCCTGACTTGAGGGGGGACAAACCCAGGCCTGCGGACAAGTGGGGTGACCCACAAGGTACCCAGCTCAGCCTGGGGGTGCTGGGCACCCACAGGAGCCCGGCAGGGCTGGGGTGGGGGTGTCCATCGCACTGTGAAAAGCCTCATTTTCCTCCTCATCCTCCTCCAGCCCTGCCCAGGGCTCCATGCCAGACTGATATATATATTTTATGATAACTATAGAGATGCACTTCAAACCTGACAAAGGACTTTGACAGTTTTAAGCATCTCTTTGATTAATACATGACCTTTTAATGCTTCGGATTAAATTAATAAATCTTTTACATTCTAACCCATTCCGCTTGCAATGTCATGTTTTTTGCACGACCTCTCTCTCTTCCCTGCCCCGTCCCTCTGTCCCACTCCCCCCATCCCTGCACAGGTACAGCGATCCACAGCCTTGCAATATTCATGGGGCTCAGAGCCCTGCAAGGCGAGAAGGGAGGGATCCTCCTCGGTGTTTTTTTT